GCTTTTATAGTGTAACAGAGAAACGCAATCATTGTCTCCTGCGATAGCGACAAATATCTCCATCCGTCACGTAAACTTCATAACATAGCTTATCCGATCCAGGCGGATTAATTTGGCATGATTCGCCCTGGCACAACGTTAGTTTCTCGACTACTTTTGAAAAAAAAAATCTTGAATGCATATTGTTACTCAATTCTTAGTACAAAATCAAGGTATGGTAAGCGGCTATTAATAAGCAATAAGCACAGAGTAAGATTATTGTATTTTCATTTGTAAAGTTAATATCGACACATAGCAATCATTAGTTGTTTATCTTAGGCTCAATTACATTTTCTTAATATATTTTACAACTCTTTCAAGAATCAAAATACCCAGGCCTAAGCCTAATTATTTAGGAGGGCCTATATAAACTGAGTAACAAACAATGAGGTTATAATAGCAGCAAAGTTACTATCATTCTAGTTCATAAGATTTTGATTGCTTAAAGCATACAACTCAATAAATAAATATATGGGAAACAAAAAACATTGAAACCTGAATAGCCAACAATATAAGACAAAGATACAGAAAATGCAATGACATAATTTGAAACCAAGCAGGCTTACATAGTGATAAAACATTAATGCAAACAACAATGCTTGTGGTTTTGTCAATTGAAAGATAAAATGTCCATAAAAAAGGGGTTAACTTACAAAATGAGACTGTAGATTATTTACATGTTTAATATGAAACCATAAACAGTTTTATGGCAGTAGGCACTGGCCGCGGTAAATTGAATCTTCAAGCCAAAAGTACAAGTAAGAAGTGAAATTTAACAGCCATTATAAAGCTATTATTTTCACGATAAAATAGGTTTGGGATCTTATAATAATTACCCTAGTAATAAAAAAAGAAGTTGTAAAGGAATAAAAGTGATATAACTTTTATGAGCTAGCTGCTGAGTCAACAGTTCTTGGAAGTACTTGACTTGACACTTGATTGTCCTGATAAAATATTAATGGGTTTGAGATTGTTAATGGGATTTTTATTGCATAATTACTCTAGTAATAAATTATGAAAATGTAAACAAACATCTGATAAACCTTTTATGTGCTCCTAACCAACTAGCGATCAATAAAATTATGGCCCATTAAAAATTTAAGGACATTGTCTGGCATTTAAGGACAATTCCCGTACATTTCATGGCCAGTAAAAATTTAAGTACAATTCCCGGTTTTCCCGGATTTCCCGGTTGGTAGACACCCTGATACTTGTTGTTTTGGAAATACGCACACAATGCCTCGATGTTGTTTGGTCTAAACCATGATGGCTGATGACAAGACCAAAAGTGTTTGTCTACATAATCTACACAGCCTGAGTGAAACTACTTAATCTGTTTTGCACCCTGTATTTAGTAGTGGTGTTTGACTTTGATATTGTAATAGGCTATTGAAGGATATTGTTGGCATTTGTAATGTTTTGTAAAACAACCCAATTGATGGGTCAAAGAAATCTTTAAATACTGCATAACCAGTTATGTGAATGAAATCTAGTAAAGACTAGGTTTCACCACTTCACCGAAAAAAGTTAAAACTCACTGGTTGTATGTAATCTTGGATAAGTTTCTCTGACATTTTCAATTACAATTATTGTAAAACTAATCAATCACGTAATACCCTTATCATCTAAATTTTACTAAATAAAACAAGAAGTAACAGAAACTACGATCAATTCCTTTTCCAGTTCACTCTGTAACGTTTCCAAACATCATACATTACAGGTATTGGACAATGTAGGCAACTTAACTCATTGCAAGCTCCATTTACACACGACAGCCGAGTAATGTCGTGATTTATGTAACACCTGATGGGAGAGTCGAGTCGTAAAGCTGTAGCACGTTCAACATTAGGTTACAATACAGTCATTACACTTGACAGGGTAAATCTCACCTTTTGGTATACGTTTACGTTAGCAATATTACTAGCTCTCTAAATTTACAATTTCTGTGAAAAGTGTCATATGAAAATTAGTTAGTGTTAACTACATACTAGACGCGAGTGTATACATTTGTAAATCAATAATACATAATAGGATAAAATACCGTATGTCCATAGTTGAAATTTGTTGAGAGGATATCAAGCTTAAGCTTAGCCGAATTGGAAAGAGTCCTAGGCTACATGGCACAAAAATCACAAAACATAAGAATATTTCCCTGTCCTGATGGCAATTTCTACTAAAGAAGGTAATACTGTACCTAGATCAACTGCAACAATTGTTTTTCGACCAACTATAATATAACAATTTTTTCCCTGTAAAGAAAGAACTATCAATATTTTTTACACACCAATGTTTTTCTTTCACAAAAAAGGGTCTAATTAAGGTGGGTTTAATGGAATTTCTCATTCAGGCAAGCCAGTTGTCCTTAAAGAAAATCCTAAAATCAACCTAGGCTCTTGTGCTCTGTTTTAAATCCTTAACATTAATTCTATAGTTGGTATTTTTTAAATAACTTCAAAATATATCCATTTATTTCAAATTTTAAATTCTAACATGGAAAAACAAAATTAAAACTAGGATCATGTTTGATTGCAGTAGAACTTCGACATCAAATTTTTAAATACTGTACATGAATTTATAAAAAAATAAATAAATTGAAAAAAACATGAATTAGTCTCAACCTACAGTAGATTGGACTATTTTTGTTTTGTTATCCATGCAAAATAAACCGAATACTAAAATTCTAACATAATGACGATTTCACAAAAATAGTTTTAAATGAACATTTAGGAAAGAAAGTTATAGCTTAGCTAGTTTACATAAGGAAAATATTAGTCTATAAACTTGGTAATAATGAAAAAAAACCTTGCACATCACAAAATAAATGTGTAAACTTACTACGCACTACCCTTATTGAAAGATTAAACAATTTTATGAACTCTTTTCGTCCACACTTGGAAAAATGCCCAAGGGGAGGAAATACAGTATTTTGTTTCTTCTATGTGTTCTATAAACCCACCTGTACTTCTAATGTAAGTTAACTGACATCCCTTCATTCCACGAATAAAAATAAAAGTTTAAATAGTTAAATTAAACTGCAAATATAGAACTAAAGAATCAGTATAAAATACTGTAAACCATAAAACCATTTGATCACTAACACTAACTATGCCAATAATGGAACAGATACAACAATCTAGTCTTGAGAAATTATTCTTACAACTTACAGTCTAGAAATGCCTTACAAGCTAAAAATATAAACTTAAGAGTGCTTGCTTAAAACTACAAAATCAGTAAAAACCACACCTTGATTAGATCATTAACACTACATCCAACAATGAAACATATACAAGAATCTGGTCTTGAAATAATCCTTACAACTTACAACCAACAAATACCTTATGAGCTACAAACGTAAACTAAGAGTGCTCGCTTAGGCTAGAGTGAAGTGATGACTCCGTTTATGTTATCGCAAGTTGGTCCGGGGGAAGCTACCAGGTTCTCTACGAATCTAAGACCAATCAATAAGCAGCAAGGCGAACAACCATTCAAGAAGACTGCCAAGCTTTAGAATTGGTTTCGCGAGTCTTCAATGCGCGGTGGTGGTTAGGCCTTGCTGTTCTTAAGCTTTTCCTGGCCAAAAACTAAGGGATTACAGGATGAGGGTTGAGGGTGTAGAGTAGGTGGGTGACAGGATTTATTTAATTTTTCTTATTTAGCCTATACCTAGGCTATTATAACTTGTTTAACTATTTAATTTAATTTTTAATTTTTTTATTTTTAGGTTAATTTATTAACACAGTCACACGTTTATGGCATGTGTAAGCTTAAATGAATGCAAGTTGAGTGTAAAGTAGAGCGAGACGACCTGAGTAGATATAATGCTTAAAGATCATCTATATTTAGTCAATGAAGCAAAAAATATATAAATTTTTCTGAGCTTACGTTCTGAAAAAAAAAAATATTTTCTTGGAACAATGTAAGCTACCGACTATTTGCATGCAATTTCTAATTAAAATCCAATTCCATCCAATAACATTATTTTTGTAATTCATAACATAAATTCTTTATGTAAAACCTCATTATTTTTATAGCAGTAGGTATTCAAACAAGGACACCATTTTCATTAGGTACTTTAATCTCCGATTGAGACTGACCAAAAGTTCAGGTTAAAATGTTCAAAATCAATAGCCAATATAACATTTTTATTATGCGTTTACCATTTTATAAATATATTGAAAATATATTGAATAGCACAGATAAATGTTTACTAATTTTAACCATAGGCCCTAATTAAAACACTAATAACCGATAACCCAAAATATCTCAAGTGGAGTTGCACCAAGAGAGATTATAGAAATTCAAACGGACAAAAGCGAAGATTGAATGCGAAATCAGTTTGAATGTTGACAACAACAAAACTTATATCGGGGAAGTTGGACAATTTGGTATTCCGAGGGGATGACTGTATTTACCACCCCATACTTGTAGGACCTAAAAGTTCCCCATTCACAACTCCCTCACAATCGGCCTTTCAGCTTTCACGTCTCTTGACAAATATTAGAGAGGGTTTCAAATCGAAAATGCAGTGGCTAAATTAGTTAAAAGTTGATGATTTTTTTTTATGTAAAATTAATTTTTGAATGCAATTGGTGTTGTGATTAAATATCAGATTCGACCAATCACAGGGTGATTAAGGTTTTTCTCAAAAAAACACAATTTATCACAGCTAAGAAAACAGTGTTAAAGAGAACATTTTATCAAACAGTAGAAATATCTTAGGCTAATATGTCAAAAACTGGACCGGGGCGCCTGCATTATCTTATCACTCGAGGAGTGAGCGGTCTATTTAGTAGTTGAACATATTTTGATACTGAAACATTTAATCTTTGCAATAGTCCTACTTTTAATTATTTTTTAACTGAGGTTTGCAGGTGAGGAAATGGGAAGGAAGGGTACCACCAACCGCGTCACAATGCTCAGTCAGAGAGAGAGGGAGAATGTGTGTGTGTAAGATAGCCTACCGTGTCCCCTACCTTCTTCTCCCACTGCAGAACATACGGCACGGGGTGATCGGCCGGAAACTCCACCTGGCAGTTGAACACCACCGACTCTCCCAGGATAGCAGTGATGTGGACGGCATCTTGGAAACCACCCACCACACCTGAAACATCCGTAGTCAACATTAACTGACGAAGCAAGTCCCACCTGGCAGTTGAACACCACCGACTCTCCCAGGATAGCAGTGATGTGGACGGCATCTTGGAAACCACCCACCACACCTGAAACATCCGTAGTCAACATTAACTGACGAAGCAAGTCTCCTCCACCTGGCAGTTGAACACCACCGACTCTCCCAGGATAGCAGTGATGTGGACGGCATCTTGGAAACCACCCACCACACCTGAAACATCCGTAGTCAACATTAACTGACGAAGCAAGTCTCCTCCACCTGGCAGTTGAACACCACCGACTCTCCCAGGATAGCAGTGATGTGGACGGCATCTTGGAAACCACCCACCACACCTGAAACATCCGTAGTCAACATTAACTGACGAAGCAAGTCTTCTTCACCTGGCAGTTGAACACAACCGACTCTCCCAGGATAGCAGTGATGTGGACGGCATCTTGGAAACCACCCACCACACCTGAAACATCCGTAGTCAACATTAACTGACGAAGCAAGTCTCCTCCACCTGGCAGTTGAACACCACCGACTCTCCCAGGATAGCAGTGATGTGGACGGCATCTTGGAAACCACCCACCACACCTGAAACATCCGTAGTCAACATTAACTGACGAAGCAAGTCTCCTCCACCTGGCAGTTGAACACCACCGACTCTCCCAGGATAGCAGTGATGTGGACGGCATCTTGGAAACCACCCACCACACCTGAAACATCCGTAGTCAACATTAACTGACGAAGCAAGTCTTCTTCACCTGGCAGTTGAACACAACCGACTCTCCCAGGATAGCAGTGATGTGGACGGCATCTTGGAAACCACCCACCACACCTGAAACATCCGTAGTCAAAATTAACTGATGAAGCAAGTCCCACCTGGCAGTTGAACACCACCGACTCTCCCAGGATAGCAGTGATGTGGACGGCATCTTGGAAACCACCCACCACACCTGAAACATCCGTAGTCAACATTAACTGACAAAGCTAGTCTCCTCGCGACTCCTCAAGCAAAGACGGAGTCTCGCCCATTATGGTCGGGATGCTTCGAGTCATATTTCAACCAAAATATCTGGATAAAAGATCAGTTAAGAATGGATCGACACACCTTGTGTAGTGTGTTATAGACTAAGATCGGCATTTTGTTTGGCCAGGCCCAAAGACAACTAACTGGTTCCAGTTACGATCCATCAAAACGCTCCTAACTTATCTCTGGACGGTACCAAAGACCTTATGATTTCTAGAGTTGATCTATGAGGAATTATTTTACTTAAAGAATGTTCTCACTAGCAGCCTTCTAAAGCTGTCTTGATGGTTTCCTTGCTGGTTTGCTGGATATGTATGTTTATTTCTCTAAAACAAAGAGATATTCTTTCAGTGTTACAATTCCTGTGCAAACTAAATAAAAGTTTTTTTGTAGCGAATTTTCCCTATAGGGAAGTATCTATTACCGTAGGTCTCATGGTAAGACCTAGGCCCGGGACCGATTTACTTTTTCATTTTGATGTCCCCAGAGTCCAAAAACACCATTCGTTCATATTTTTATATATCTATATATAGATACTAGCTGACCCGGCGAACTTCGTATCGCCTAAGTTATAGGTTTCCCCTAAGACAGACCGATGGAAAGAAAGTACCGTTACGTTTAATTTTCAAGATGATCTCGTTCGCATCGCTCAATCACGTCCTGGTTGAAGTTCGTTCGCTACGCTCACTCACCTTTGGGTTGGAGCTCGTTCGCTACGCTCACTCACCTTTAGGTTGGAGCTCGTTCGCTGCGCTCACTTGCCTTCAGGTTAGCTCGTTCGCTACGCTAACTCGCCTCCAGGTTGAAGTTCGTTCGCTACGCTCACTCACCTTTGGGTTGGAGCTCGTTCGCTACGCTCACTCACCTTTAGGTTGGAGCTCGTTCGCTGCGCTCACTTGCCTTCAGGTTAGCTCGTTCGCTACGCTAACTCGCCTCCAGGTTGAAGTTCGTTCGCTACGCTCACTCACCTTTTGGTTGCAAATTAGCTGTTGTCATAAGTGTAAAAGAAATAATAGTGCTACACCCTGTTGGTAATCCTTGTAACTTTAATGCTATTGAACATCATAGAACAGAACCAACTTGTTTAATTGAAACAGCTGTTAAGATTCATTAATTCCATTTCTCATAAGGTTAACATGGGAAACTCCAGAGCCACTGGGGCGGAGGCCTTTTAAGAATTTCGAAACGGGAAATAGTTTACGTCCGATTCGCATACCTACAGAATTTACACACCAAATTTCATAACGATCGGTGAAGTCGTTCCGGAGGAGTTTGCAGACAAACACTGTGACACGAGAATTTTATATATTAGATATATATATGTGTTCATCCGCACGATAACTTGAGTAATTTTTGTCCGATTTTGATGAAATTTGGTTTAAAGGTGTAAGGCGGGATAAACTTTAATGAGTTTGCGATTCAGCATGATCGGACCATGGGAACGGGGTTTTACGGGGGGTTTTATGGGTTAAAAATTGGTTTTTCTCATTTTTGACCCCTAAAACACAAAATTTCCCAATTTATCTCTAGACCATATTAAAGAGCTTAAAAAAACTAATAATTTAGTATATCAAAGTGTTTTTGTACGGTTATTGGTAACGGAGAAAATTCAAAAAATTGTAAATGAAAAATTCCCATGTTATTCTTATGGAGAATATTGAAAATGTTGTAGTTTGTTTGTTTATGGATATTTTGATCAAACTTGGCAAATTTATTTATTTTATACTAAGCTATTAATATTTTACTAAAACACACTTTATTAGTTTTAGTTTCCTTGTGGCAGCAAACCTAGGTACTCGTTAAACCTAATGTTATTTAAATAGATTTAGTTGAAAATCATTCAGATGGAAATTCGCTTAGTCGGCAGGTTTGCTGCGGCGGGGGTATTTCTTTTAGTCGAGGTCTGCTAGACTTCTAGTTGCTTAATTTTGAGAGAAGAGAGTTATCTCAAGAGACTCCTCCTCTTACATCAATGCCTTACATGATTTGTGATGTTGAAGGAAAACTAAATAGTCTTGTTTCCTGGGCACGATTAGCAGCCCTAGGGTGATTTTTTAGAGGATTGCTGGCTACAGTGTCTGTGTTAGGAACCTATTTGGTACGGTATGTAATGAGATTTTACTGAAACTTTTTAAATCTTCGGGTTCAGTTGGTTAGTCATACTGGCCTCGTCATTAGTGTAAATAGTGTCAAATCATTTCAACATAGTTGTCTCCGCCATTTGTATTTCTATTTGCTCACAGAAGAACCTTCTATCTTTGAGTTTAGTCGATGTATGATTAAAATTGTAGAATATAGTAGTCTTAGAACTAAATTGTTTGTTTTTGGTAAATGATTACACAGTAGAACATTTCAGCTAAATGTCAAATTAACCATGAAGATGCTGCGCAGTGGGCTTTCACCGCAAAATGATCATTTACATGACAATGTTATACATATGCAATGCGAAGTTACGATGTGTACACTGAAGAGCATTTCCATATTCACTCTGGGTACTGATATAGATTAAAGCTTGTACAATGGTCGAAGGGGATGTACCATGAGGATTATTTAAAATTACTTGGTCATAGGGTACCAAACCAATAGCACACTGATTTTTAGTCTCAGGTTAACAGAGTGCTTGGTCTGTAAATAGTCACTAAAAATGTTTACTAAAATGCAACGCGTTCAACTTACATGTATAACTTACATGATGTTGATGATGAAGTTACATGATGTGTAACTTCATGTTCACTTACATGATGTGTAAAACAGCCCTTCTAGTAAAATCTTAATTTTGAAACCAATTAACTTTATACTCTTAATAAGATACTACACACAGGGCCGATTTACCGAATAGGCACGGTAGGCACGTGCCTAGGGCGCGAGGCAATTGGCTTTTTTGGGGGGCGCCAAAAATTTGGAAAATAAAAAAAAATTGGTGGTTGTTTGCATGCGATTGCGGTAAACTTTCTAATAATCCCTCGCCGCCGTGTAGACATCGTAATCGTCTCCCGCGTTTGCGGCGAGATTCTTACTATTTTCAGAGGTCAGGTCGTTTAGACATAATTATCGTCTTCCATGATCGAAGCAATATATGAGCATATCCCGCGGTCGTGAGGAGTTTATCATCGTCTACCACGAATGAGGCAAAATTCTGATCTTTTCCCGCGGTCGTAAGGACATTATCTTGGTCTTGCGCGATCGCGGTCAAATTCTGACCACCCCTCGCGGCCGTGAAGACATCATTATATCGTCCCCCGCGGTCGTTTGAACATATTAATCGCCTCCCACGATTGTAAAAAAATGGTAATCATCTCCCTCGGTCTTGTGGAGATCATCATCCTCTTCCGCAAATTAGGCCAAGTACTGAGCTTTTCCCGAGATCGTGTGGCCATTATCATCGCCTTCCGTGATCGCGGCAATATTCTGATCATCCCTCGCGGCCATGTAGAAATCATTATTGTATCTCCCGCGGTCCTGTAGACATCGTAGCCGTCTCCCGCGGTCGTGTATACATGGCAATCGTCTCCCGCGATTGCAGCAAAATGTTAATCATGTTCCGTAGTTGTGTGGAGATCATAATCGTCTTCCCCGATCGCGGTAAATTTCTTGCTGTTTCGCGCGGTCGTGTGGACATTATCATCGTCTTCCGTGATCGTGGCATTATTCTGAATATCTCGCGGCCGAGTGTAGACATTACTATCGTCTCCCGCGGTCACGGAAACTGTTGTCATGCGCGATCACGGTAATTTGAAAACTCCAGGTAGAAATACAAAATTCACACATAATTCCCGGTTCATAAAATTCCCGCAAGATTCCCGGATTTCCCGGTCGGTGGACACCCTTATATATACAAAATGTCTGGAACCAACATTATATCTGGTGAGTGGTTAAAGAAAAACAAATGATATTTTGTGTACGGATATACTATGGTTTTACCTATCTTTTGGTGCCTTGTGAAATGTTTTACCACTTATAGGGAACGTCCTGTGGAGGATGCAGTAAAAAGTTTTAATGGAAGCCTATGGTAAATGATACATAATTTTAAAGGCCATTTTTTTTCTGAGTAAGGAGCCACAAGTTTCATCTCAAAAGGACCACCCTAGCAAAAATGGCGACTGTTTGAAATTTAAAAACTCACTCATAAGGAACGTCCTGTGGAGGATGCAGTAAAAAGTGTTGATGTAAAAAGTATTTTTAAACAAATAATACAGTTATAAAACATAATTGTCTTGCTGTACATTTACTAAACACTTACTGAAAAAAAAACATTTAACTAAATTGTTTGTGTTGTTTTACTAAACTTATTTTTAACAGAAATACCAATTAAGCTTTCTATTTTCAAAAACTTCAAACAGTCGCCATTTTCGCTAGGGTGGTCCTTTTGAGATGAAACTTCTGGCTCCTTACTCAGAAAAAAATGGCCTTTAAAATGATGTATCATTTACCATAGGCTTCCATTAAAACTTTTTACTGCATCCTCCACAGGACGTTCCCTATAAGTGGGTTTTTAAATTTCAAACAGTCGCCATTTTTGCTAGGGTGGTCCTTTTGAGATGAAACTTGTGGCTCCTTACTCAGAAAAAAATGGCATTTAAAATGATGTATCATTTGCCATAGGCTTCCATTAAAACTTTTTACTGCATCCTCCACAGGACGTTCCCTTTAAGTGGTAAAAAATTTCATAAGGCACCAAAAGATAGGTGAAACTATAGTATATCCGTACACAAAATATCAGTTGTTTTTCTTTAACCACTCACCAGATATAATGTTGGTTCCAGACATTTTCAACACCCTGTATATTGCAAAGGGGCGCTACTATTAGTTGTGCCTAGGGCGCTGACAGGGTCAAAAACGGGCCTGACTACACAAATTTACCATACAGGTACTTCAAAATATTTATTGGTTATTTTGCTACAATAACCTCTAAGTAAATCCAAAAACCTAAATTAAAAGAGGTGTTTCAAAAATCTTGTCCTCTGATGTGCGAAACTGTGCCCAACTTCATTTCAGTAGGCTACAGTGGGCTATAATTTTAGTAGCTTGGTCAAGTCAAGTTTAGTAGTAAGTGTAGTCAAAACACATACCGGTAGCGTAGGAATGAACTATAACTAAAACTATCTCATTGTTTTAACGAATCACCAGATTTAAAATTATTTTGTAAACCCCCACCTATCTTAGTTATTTAGTAAAAGTTTCCCCTGCAGGTAACTTACTGGAGAGCTCATATCTGGCTTCTGAATAAATTCAACACATTCACCGAGGTTGGTAGAAGCCGATAGTATGATTGTGTCAATATGGGATGACAGACACTGTTTGCACATAACATGCAGAGCTAACTGGCCATGTAACAAGAGCCAGCATGTAAAGCTAACACGCTGCGTAACCCACTGTACGCATTACACTAAACTGCTTCTACATTACTGTCACAGTCTTTTCCATCATTGGTGACTGATTACGAGGCCAATATCGTTCACAATGAATATATGTAATGAATTATCACTGTGTTCCTATCTATAAGGCTATGCTGCGTTCTCTAAGCTTTAGGTTTTATCACTAGTTTTCCTCTGAACCACTAAATGGATACGGTACGGTACTGTAGGTAGGCCTACTTGTTAAAATTTATGAGATTAGCAAAGCAATAACAATAGGTTAAGACAAGACCTAGATAAGTTAGCTACCTTAACAACCTCCAAATTAATTTTATTGAAATATTTTTTAACCAAGAAAATGACGTAAAACCTTTATCAGCCTATCCGACTCCAAATTGTATTAAGAATCGATTGTTACAAGCAATTTTGAAGTTTGGTACCTATAAGGTTTTAAGTTTGGTTATCGATCAGACAGATAGGCCTACTTGTATGTTCAATAACTTAAATAGTAGGCCTACAATCGACAGGTAGGCCTGCAGTACAAAGTTTATTTTTGTTTTTAATAGATTATTCCACATAAGTTAGGTCTACCTCTAATAAACTTTTAAATACGGTACTTTCCCCAACAACCCTAAAATAAACTAGGCCTAACTTAACTTACTCTCATAATCTGGCACCTACACAAGTTACATTAATGTCAATGATAAGCAAATCGGCTATAAATTTTAGCAAAACTATCCCAACATTTAAACTCAACATAAGCTCCTAACCTAAGTTAACTTAACTTAAACTGAAGAACTGTTGCACTAACCTGGGATAATTATTGCGAGGAGAAGAGATGCAACGTTGGTGACGGTCAGTGTATGGACGGCCTTATGGTGCTGTGGCCGCATGCCCATCCCTCTGGTTCCATAGTCTTTGCTACATCTCCCTCGACATCGTCACCTGGACAAAATTTCACAATATTAAGTTACCAGTAGGCTACTTAAATAAATTGCTTGTCTGCTGATGCAACAATTTCAAATTCACCATCTTTAAGGTTACCGTTGGTAACTTAAGTGTACCTATTCAGACGCATAATTAAACTTTGAAAAAGGATTTAAGTTAGCCTAGGCCAAGTACGGTTTTAAGGATCTTAGTCAGTAACAAAGCTACACAGGTCATCACACACCATTCTACACTCATCCTTCACACATCACATCACACATACTGTATTTGGGTTAAAATACGCACCTAGGTGGCGTTCCCATCTCAATAATTGATAATAAACGATAATATTGTTTAGATTAAGTTAAATTGAACAAAAACTCTAGATAAGGGTAAGGTACATAATTGGTTAACCAAATTACAGTAAATGTTGGATACAAAGTGTGACTGCTCATGAAGGATTTTTTGCTTTCTTATTTTTAACTTTATTCCAGATTGTTTATCTTAAGTTATCTAACACTAGTACTGACAAAGTTACACTCTCTTTAAGTTTGTTATTTTAATTGTTGACTTATATTTTACCTTTTTTTGAGTTGCCTAGGTCATTCGGATAGGCTTGGCTTATAAAATCTCAAGTTGACAATTAATTAATTACCAAGCACTAGACCTATCCATTTATAGTAAAAACAGGCTACGTCCCGATCCGAGCATAACAAACATTCAAAAAAGTTAAACAGCATAAAAAATATAAGAAATTGTGTCAAGATGTGTTCAGTATAAACAAAAGCATTCTTTCAATTCAAAGCGACTCATTGCTTTTGTTTTCTGCTTTGTTTGTTTATGTTTATGTTTGTTCGTGTTGCTTCTTCTTCTTTATAAGAATTTAAATCAGCCAGCCAATGAGCTCTCACCATTTTTTTCTTGGCCATTCCTACTTTCTTCTTCATCATTGATGGTTTTATGTTTTATCTATGGTAGTGATATCATAGATTAAACTTAGTCAATGGCGATTTAGTACGTAAACACATCGTGTTCTATATTTTTAAGTATTCCAGTGTATGGTGTAATGCACGTTGAACCATTGACTATTTGAACTTTAACCAATGGTGGCCGTGGCTTATCACTCATATCATAAAACGAAACTTAACGTTTGATAGTACTGCAAGACAAGATGCAAGTAGACTTCTTTTTGTATTGTAAAACTTAGGCTTGTTTTAAAGTGTATTAATAGTCTGTATTAATAGTTGTTTTTAATTTAACAGTCGTTATTTTGCTGCATGTATCCCCCCAATTACTACTGTACACCCAGTGTACCCTTACTCTGTAGCAACAACACTAGAGAACGGATGGGTTTACAATAAAATAATTCGAAGTAGTCATTTAAAAGCTGGCAAAAAATGAATTTAAAAGATTTAAACATAAAATTTAACTCACTTTGACTTTGCACATTGGACCGGACATAAGCATCCGACCAAAGTCTCTAATCAATCTACAAGGAAGATAAATCTATAAACGAGAATGTTTAATCTGTGGTTTATCAACCAGCTAAAAGTAAAACACAAGAAACCACACTCACGTTGAGGATTTGAAGTCAGCGTTTATTATTTCGGAGTGGTGGAGAGTGATTTCAATCTGAAAAGAGCAAGGACGGGATGCTTTCAAACCCGAGTGTTGCCCATTATGCGAGGCCGGGGACGGAGAAGGGGGTAGATGTTCAACCATTAGCCCCTGATTACCCCATAATATCCAACCGCGAGTACAGAATGCACCCTGTCGATGTGTTTTTTATTGTCATTAGTTTAACATCATAACATACGATTTATATGCCTCTTTTATTTGTGTGGGGTTGCGTGTTGCGTCTAGTGGCTGTTGTAAGAGGATGGGAGGGGGAGGAAGTACCAGATAAAACCATTCCACATTTTAGACAAACTAACCGTTGGGAAATATAGATAATATCACTTATTCAACTAATACAACAGACAATACACATTACAACTGCGAACGTCAGAACGAGTGGTGACATTGATGTCTTGATTTTATCATAGAGTATAGAGTCTTTATACACTGATCAACATGTGACGTAAAAAATAGGAAATTTTTAACGTTAAATTTGAATCAAGTATAATGTTACCATAACATTTTAACTAGTGGCATTAAAAAAATTAACGAGTAAATAACACACTCATGCATTACACCTAAATTTAAGAGAAAAACGTTTAGAGTGCATCCGCACTCAATCTTTACCCACACACAACCCCATATTTTAAAGAACTTACAATAGGGTGATAAGTCTACTTAAAGTCTCCAAAGACATGTAAATAACAGATTGTAATAAAATATAGGACAAAAACACGTGCATAAACTATTATCATTCGGCGGAGTGAGTCTCCTTGTGCAAAAACGAATCCAAAGCAAAAGGCAATTTCCAGAAGTTTGGCACATCGACGGGCTGATCAGAACGTTGCTCCTGGTTATTTAATCACACCCATCGGTAAAAGAATCACGCCTGACTATAGCAGCCCAACAAAAGCGGGACATATGATTTTTTAAATGTACAAACCCTAAGACAATTTTAGAGCAGACGTACAACAAAACGTGTCTGTAACATTAAGATTTATTAATTCCTTAACAGTAAAAAAAAAAAAAAAAAAAAAACACTCGAAAGTTAGTAACGACAAGGTGGCATGTCTGGCCATCGATCGTCGTTTGGGGGAAGGTATCGACACTGTTGTGTTGGGGGGGGAGGGGGGGAGAAGGGTGGTCCTAGCTACTTGACAAAAGCCAAGGTGAGTGGCTGGGATCGGAAACTCGCGTTTACAATATTTGATAGAGTTGTCAAACTTACTTTAAAATTAGCAGAAAATATGTGTTTTTTTTATGTAATAAAAATAATAACTGTAATTCATTACGCATTCAACTATTTTCTTTAAAAAAATATCTACCACTGATCCATGCTGATGGGAGTTCTAATTCTGTATATAAAAATCAATGCTTAAAGACCCCTTTTACCCCTACCTCTCTATAAAAAATGCAAAGATTATCGGGACTTCTGTTTTCAACGGGTGGATGTAAATCGAACGTTTAGGTCTTGGCGTTCTTAACAGTTATGATTTAATTTTATTCTATCCTGATTCTGTTTACCAGATATTTATCACAGTACTATTGTGAATTTCCTAACTATTGCCCTGTCAACTTGTAGACCTATACCTGACATGTGATCCTAAACCACGTTATTCTGATCATTGTTTCAAAGTAAAGTACAAAACACAAAAAAAGGTTGTCAACATTTAAATATGTTCTAAGATTCTAGGACATAACATTGTCCACTAATAAAAATCTTCATTATGGAAAACTAATTTTAGAAACTCGACGTAAATACAACGTTACAAAGTCCGCAAAGTCGATTTGAATTTTTTAACAATGAGCAAAGTCATAAATCAGTTTGGACATTTTGATAAATCCTTTTCTTTTATTTGAAAAACATATCTTACTAATATTATAAATGTGAAAGTTTAGATGTATGGATGGATGTATGTTTGTGACAAGTGAACGCAAAAAATACTGGTCGGATCGGGCTGAAATTCGGCATGATGATAGCTCATATTCCCGATTAACATATAGGCATATTTTTATCCCAAAAATCCTTCCGGGCTCCGCCCCAGTGGCTCTGGAGTTTCCCATGTTAAACTTATGAGAAATGGAATTAATGAATCTTAACAGCTGTTTCAATTAAACTAGTTGGTTCTGTTCTATGATGTTCAATAGCATTAAAGTTACAAGGATTACCAAGAGGGTGCAGCACTATTATTTCTTTTACATTTATGACAACAGCTAATTTGCAACCAAAAGGTGAGTGAGCGTAGCGAACGAACTTCAACCTGGAGGCGAGTGAGCGTAGCGAACGAGCTAACCTGAAGGCAAGTGAGCGCAGCGAACGAGCTCCAACCTAAAGGTGAGTGAGTGTAGCGAACGAACTTCAACCAGGACGTGATTGAGCCATGCAAACGAGATCATCTTGAAAATTAAGAAGTTAAACGGGGCAAAGCCCGCGGGTTACAGCTAGTATTTATATAAATTAACAACGGTGGTGTTTTGCAATGCGATAGCTGAATGAACAACACAAGTCACTTTAGAGATAGGAGTAGGGCCTATAACCCAAAAATGTGCACAGATAGAACACTTTTTTGAAATAATTTAGTTGGCTGACGACCAGTAAACTTGGGAAGGTTTAATCATATCCCTGTTTTAATCCAGAGGGCCTGCGAGGCTGCATGGCAGAACTTTTGGGGCCCAAAAACCGGCCTAGCGTGTTTATAACTTTGCGAATTAGTCTCGCTTTCGTTGACGTTATACTACAACCGAGTGGCAATGGTAGTGGGAAATATTAACATTTTAAAAATGAATATGGTTTTTTGCGGGGTTCTGCGTACTAAAATTATCAATATACGTTTTATCGAAAACGAATACAGGAGTTATATTGACGGGATGTCAAAAGTAGTTCAGCAAAAGATGTTACTAGAGAAAAAGGACCCATTTCTTCTTCTCCTTTGATGTCTGTATCTATTTTCTCTGACGCCCGCCCATAACATCTTGCAACCCTTGAATATCATCCCTTGTGTCATTCCCTTTTCATCTTCAAATTCAACAGGGTTAGAGGAAATAATATTCAGCAGAATGTTTGTCGATCTATGTCCGAGTTAGTTCACTGAACATATGTGCACTTGTTACGTAGACTATTCTATACGAAATTGAGGATTCAAAAACACTACCTATTGTATTACTAGGCCTACTGCATAATAAGATTACTTCATTTTTAGGGTATCTTTTTAGGAAAAAATCCTCGTTTTCTACATGAACACTTTTCAAACAGTTACTAAGTAGTTTGCAGTAAAAGTCCTTTACGTTTTTGTATATTTTATGGGATTTTCTGGTGGGCAAATATATTTCGATTGACCATAAAGTAAATACACCGACACTTTAATTTAATAAAATTAATCTTTTGAATGAACGTCTCAAGG